GGGGGAGGCCGGCGGGGACGCATGCGCATGGGAAGGGGTCACCACTGCTCTCTGGCGCCCCCAGGCGGCGTGGCGGAACAGGGCCCTGGGTGGGAAGAAAGGGCAGGAACACCCCTCAGGGCTTCAAATGGCCCCACAGGCACCCACCAGTGCTTTCCCGTGCCTGGAAAAGGGCACAGGGGCACTACTGCCCAAAGGCCCTGACAGCCACCTCCCTATTTCCCATTTTCATGGCACAGCATTGGCACAGCTGGGACAGTGACCCACCCCACGCTGCCCCTTGAGCTCTGGCTATGACCCTGAGACCAAGAAAGCTGTTGTTCTTACAACGCAGATGACATTGCATCTGCTCGAAACTAAACGTTGGGGGGGTGGATGGTCAAATTTCTTTGGGGAGTGTATGGTCAAATTTCTTTTATACAAGTGACAGACATTTTTCAGTCCTGGTAATTTTGGCTGCAGCTGCTATCAAAAGTGAAATACAGCCAAGCACCTGAACTGATGTAGACAAAGACAAGTCAAATCCACGGCAAGAGTAAACTTTAAAGAGAAAAAAAATCTTAATCTACTTCCCTACCTCTTTCAAAGAAATACTTGGAAATAAAGAAAAACACAGTCAAAGTGTTAACATTTTGGTGTAATTTATTGGCACAAAAATATTCAAATACAACATGGCATCTAAACATGGCTACTCTGTTGTATTTTGTGCATTGTTTTTAATATGTTTAATTCATAAATCATAACTTTATCTTCACTTTAATGTTTAATAACCATTATTTTCTGTTTCAAGTTATGACCAGTTCTCACATCTGCCTCCTATGCCAAGGACTAACTTTCCCGAGTTATTTCCCCAGTGCTGCTTATTAGTGCAGACAGCGTGGGAAGTTCCCAAGTGGCATTTCATTTGTACCCTGCATCCAGTTTGCCACAGATCAATCTGCATAGAGGCAACCAACTTTGCTCAGCTAAGGTCTTCAATTCTTAGATCTGCTCCAGTATCCTGATCTAGTCTGAGACACGAATCCTGCACTAGTGTAACGAGTGGATATACAGTTTCCAATCTGGGGGCAAAAATCGAGTTTGAAAACAAGGTACTAGGATGAAACAATGGTAAAATTCTGCTTCTCTCTTTCCAACTTATCCAGCTCGCCCCAAAACCTAAATGAGGCTTCCTGCACAAGTGCATTGAGCTCACTGCAGCCACACCAATAGGACTGACCAGGGTAATAATGAGTCTGCAAATGACTTAGTTACATTGCAAAGGAAGTCAAAACCCGTATACAGTTATTTTCAATGGATCACCAGTTCCCCAAAGACCAAGTGGAACCATAGACATCTGTGGTACAATCAGTCTTCTCTGTCCTGGAAACCCAAATCAAGCGTTGTGTTTCAGACAGCTCGTGGTTTTTTTCAACAGCAGCTATACATTGGTTTAAACCAACTTTCAATATACAATAACTCTTTTCATTTACATTTCAAAATATTTGACAAAGGCTGTATTTCAGTCCAGTTTGTGTTTGTAGAAGAGCAAGTTTGGAGTGCAAAAGCCTCCAGAATAAAAGGCTGTGGATAATTTGGAATCTTCTGTTACCAGAAAGGACACCTAGAGAAAACAAAGATATTGTAGTAATGCTGACTTGCGTGTAGTTTCACAAAGGCAACACTGAGAAGGACTGAGATTCCGTATGAACTAGGCACCATTACAGCATAGAAAAGTTGACAGGTGATCCCCATGCTTCTTTCCAGCTAACTCATGTTTAGAAATGCTACAAAGATGTGTTTCCTTGAGCATAGTCCAAAGGCAGTAACTCTCAAAATGACAGTAAATGGTCTTTGTTTACTTTAGAACATGTGGTTCTTCACGATAACTGAAACTGGTGACCACTACATGCTGTATTTCAAACACTCAAAATGTTCAGGCTGATTGCAGTTTAAATGTTCTAAAATAGCTGTCACCACGTATAACAATACCACAGGACTGTCTACAGGATCGCTGTCACAGGGCTGCAAAATTTATCAGAGCAGATACAACGTGAAGGAAGGCTTCTACATATGACTAAATACACAAGTGACATTTTCCTTAGCTGTTCTCAGAGAAGAATTTTGCAGGGTTAGCTGAATGACAAACTCACCATCCAATGTAGCACTGGCACAGATTCTCATGAGAAGTAGCTTGCTTAATGAGCAATTCCACTTGTGTGGGTACATCAAGAGTTTCATCATGAGAGAAGTCTCGACCTTTGAAATAAAGGATTAAAATAAACATAAATGGAAGTCACAAATCCTATAACATAGCTTGCTTCTGGGTGGCAAGTTCAGGACTGGTACGACTTTTAACTACGCTTTCCTCCCAGTATATAAAATGTAAAAGTTTCCAAACATGGAGAACTTCTAAAGGCATCCAGAGCCCAGAAATCTGTTTTCCCTATTATTATGGCTTTTTCCTTTTATCTTCTCCAAATAACAGATAAACCAACAAGAGATAACTTTCCAGTAGCTGGAATCCTGGTCCTAACCCCTTCAAGTACATTATTTGGCAGGTGAGTAGTTTCTTATAAAGCTTTATGACTATAAAATTTCACAGCTAAATGCAGCAAACTATAAAGCCAGGACAGCAGAAATTCAACTTCCACTAAACAAGCTATGTAAAATATGAAGTCTGTTTAGTTACAATCACCTCTGTACTTTTCAAATCAGACTCCTCTGTATCTACATGCAGGCACCAGTACTAGGGTATTAGATAAAAACAGGAAAATTACCTCAACCACTTAATCAGAAGATGTTAAAGTCAAAGATTAACACAAAATACACACACTGAAAGTAGTGCTGATCCATCTCACCAGATTTTATGTTTATCTTATATAAAAACATGCTCACCAGTGAGCTTATCTCGAACCCTGTTGATGATTTGAATTGCCTTCTTATTTAGAGCTTCTGGCTTCACTAGACCATCTCCTACTAAAAAACAGAGGTAGGAAAAAGAATAAGGACTTCATTTGAACAATAAGAACATTTGTACTGCTGTTACATCTGCCCTTCCCAACCACCACAAATACCATTTAGGGAGCAAATAAACCAGTACATTTTCTGGACTTGAGAACACAGGCAATTATATTCCTCATTTACGCTGACAAGTAACTGTCCCATCTCATGTAATTGCTCCTGGATCATGATGAAATTTTCTGATCTAAGAACAAATTTCTGCATCAGTGTAGAAACAACAACAAAACTTACTGAAGGAATGGATAGATTCAGGCACTGTGGTCCCAGTTTTCTTATGGGCTGTCTCACCCAATTCCACACTGTCCAACATTTCTATTGAAAAGAACATGAAAACAGAAAAGCATAAATGAAGTGAAGCTGAAAAGCAGATAAAACAATATTCTCCTGGAAACATGAGCATATCTGTGAATCAGCTAATTTGAAAAGCATATTTGACTGTGACCAATTGTACCACACATCTCTGTCACTAACGGAAGTACACCACAGGAACAAACATCATTTTTCCCTGAAAGGTCTGATCCAACTCGTAAGAACATTTTGTATAAAATTGTAATTGAGAGGTATTTTGAAATGGCGTACATTTAACCTAAAACGACAATCAAATAAGTATGTTTATTTGTAGAAGTCTCCAACTGCTAAGATACAGCGCAAAGCTCTCAACATTCAGTCAGATGACTACTTGCCAGGTTTTGCACACTAATATTTGATAGCTAAGTAAATAACTACCACATATCAATTATACCTTGGATTACACCAGTTTGTAAGTACCCCAGAAGGCTGGTAATGTAACTGTAAAGGAGCATCTACTTTTTGAGCCAAAGTACTGAACTCACTACTTCCAGTCTTTAAACTAGTGATAATAAGCTGTTTATCTGTCTACTTTTCAGAAGTGGACTGAAAATATTTACCCAGTCTGGTGCACTGCTCAAAAAAGTAACTCCAAAATCCATGACATACACCATCTTTTCTACTCACCTACGGACTGACTAGCTGAGTAGGAGTCTGTTCTTGTTCGTGAGCGCTTATTGCCCTTTGTATTTGCTGCAAGAGAATAAGGAGTTGAGAATTGTGAACTGAAGTCTTATTGATTCACAGCAAGTTTGTCCACAAACAATACAGATTTGCCCGCATTCCTCTTTCTCCAAATTGTAGGTCACCTGAAAACAGCCTTCAATCTCCTGATGATAACTAACACAAAAACAACCCAACAATTTTGCTTGTAGCTTTGTTTGGTGTCTGTGTTTAAGGGCATAGGGTTTTAAGCACTGTGGTGATTTCACATTACATTCCCTAAAACTGTGTGCACACAGAAATAACACTTACAAACCAACAATTTAATTGGATTGTCTTCAAGCAGACAAGAGATTTCAGGTTTCTGGATTTCTTGTATAAAATCAGACTGATTTTTCTCTTGCTGTCACAGTTTTATCAGAACCACTTACTGTCCATTAGCCTCCAGTTCAATAACGGATCATACACAAAGGCTTCAAGCACAGCCATGACACTGTCCTTGTGTTCGCGCAGGACTTCCATCACCGTGTGACAGGTGATTCGGTAATTGCCATCGAGGCCCGTCACCTTCAGAAGAGAAAGAAGCGAATCAACCATGCTGCTCTATTCACTATGCAACTCCAACCCTAACAATCAGGGAGCAGGAAGTGGCTGGGGCTTTGAACTGGAATTCATGAGCTTTGTTCATTAAGTGAACAAGACAAATGTACACTATAAACTAAGAAGCTCTCTCCTGCCATTAAGATGATCTTTGTTAAACACCATGCCATCAGCTGTATTCAGTTGATGCAGATAGCTATTTGAAATGAGGAAGCCAAGGAAGGCCTAAGAAATTGGAGGAATTTCAGAGGTTTTTTCATCAGTTAAAATGTTGCTTTCCACTGCAGTGTATTGTAAAGATCACAGGAAATATTTTAACTTACAGAAAATGCAGCTGAAATATTACAGCACTGGTTCTTAAGGAGTGAAGAGGTTTAATCACAACAGAAAACACAGGGCAAAATGAGAAATGGATGCCATTTTTTTCTAGGAACAATGCCCTTCATATTGAAGACGGGATGCTTACCTCCATAGCATTTGTCAGCATCCTTGTTAACCTAAATGGAATCTTCTCAGGGAACTTTTCTCTTGTCATGGCAACCTAAACAAAGGATGATGGACAATAAGTAAATCAATAGGCAACTTATTATTTAGGAGTTAATAAGTACTGAAGTTTTTCTGCTACAATCTTGAAGGTTGTATTAATAGGACATAAAAGTCCCAGCTTTATGGTCCTCAGTTCCCAGAAATTTCTGGAAGAAGCTAGATAATTAATTTGATAACAGAGGGAAAACTCAAATGTGTGCTCAGCTGCTCGTGTCCAGTAACAAAAACTGCCTATCAGCAGCTTAAATTGCTCCATGAAGTTTTACGGAAAAGTGATGTTAGCACTTCTTTGCATGTCCCAGTGGTCAGCTAATCCCCAAGACATGCCTCTGAGAGACACTATTATTTTCATGCTGCCTGTAGGTAAAGTGAAGCCCAAAAGAGAGCCAAAGGGCTTGGCCAGGATCATACTCCAAGGTTAGTTTGTCCTGCCTTACAGATTAATTTATGTTCCACCAAAAATATGAAATATTACAGAAAATTTAATGTCCAAATGCAAAGATTTACCTCAAAACAGTCCCCAAAGTCGATATGCAGGATCTTTCCACTCAGTCTGTCTAACATCAGATTGGAGGGGTGTCTTTGATGGAGTAGGAGAAAAAACAGGGTGACAGACCATTATAAAAACCCAAAGTAAATCACAGCAGCTCCAGTCTGAAATGATATTTATCTTCATGAACACGAACAGTCAGTGACAGCTTGCTTGTCTGAGATCTTCAATCTCAGGATGAACAGAATAGCTTCCTGACAGTGCATCTATCACATTATTTTTGTAATTACCTCTCAGGAGTTAGAGATCATCTCACCTTGGATGATAACCTATTGGACCAGAACCATCAGTACCTTTCTCGGATTTGAACTTTTTTTTTCCAGTTAGGATAGATTTTTCTACTTGTTTTACGTTTTTTCATTTTTTTTTTCAGTACAGAAAAATGTATTGAATTATGTTACAGGTAAAGTAATGCAAATTGGATTACCACCAGAAGAGAAGAGAATCAATCCTGATTAGGAAAACCACAGTACTGTTTCTGCTGTTCATGCTGACTTGTTCCAATTTTGGTTCAGTTCAATTTTAAAAAAGGTTTATAATTTCATTATAAATACCTTTAGGTTCAGGAATGTAAGCTTTTGTTGTGAAAACATTTCAGGGTTTAGATGTTCTTGCATTACACACCTTAAATCTAAAATACATTGCCTTCAGAAGTATTTTGGAAGCTATGATGTTCCCCTTGTGACAGTAAGTCATATACTGAATCAAGTTGTTAATTTTATCTTATTTGCCCAATCCATTTGGATTGCACATACTTGCCTCCAGAACAGGTCTGCACTGGAGATCATAAGCAGCACCATGTTAAGTAATAGTTAAACCACCATTAACTTTGATTTGTTTTAAGTCTAGAACACTCTCTGGGGAGTATTTATGGAGACTTCATGCATCTCTGATGACTGCTGTGAATGTACACTGCACTAGAGGTTCCTGCTTCACAGAATAAATATCCAACAGGCAAAAAATATGCAAAATAGGTAGTGTTACTGAATTCATTTGGAAGGACACTCAGAAGACCTCTGCCACTAAATACTTTCTGGATTTCTTTTTGCTACTTCAGAGAACAAAAACAGATGCTTGATCATGGTGCTTCTTTTCTCTCCAAAAAGCTTAATGTACGTGTACAGTCTTAACAGGCTTTGCAAAAAACACTGCCATCTCATCTACACAAAGCACATCGATTGATGGCAAAAGTCAACGATATCTCTGTTTCACAGAATGCATGGAGAAAGATTTCCCATTCTGTGAGTGAAAGGACAAAGATAGAACTTGTGGTCCTTGATGTAAGTCTGTGCGTATTCCTCTCAAAATGGAAGAAACACTTATTTGTACTCAAGATACACAAACCCTATATCTCATGTCTGCAGTGCTGAAAATAAAGGCAGCACAATTAGGTCCTGAAAGATGGTATCATTACAATTCAGCAATAACCACAATGGAAGATGTTATCATATGAACAGATCAAAGGATTTATAATTGATAGACCTACACAGTCTGCGCTTTTATTTAAAAGATACCTTTACAATTTCACTTACCTGTCCCCAAGGCCCAAAATGTACCCAACCATTGACATCACAGCTAGTGAACGAGTGTAGTTTGTTCTTCTGTCAAACCACACCTACAAGTAGAGACAAAATAAAAAAGGCCAGGCAGGCATGTTGCATGTTGTAGCTTATATTTTCATTTATACTTTAACTATTTGCATTTTGCACAAATCAAAACTGTGATCATATGCTTAGGTTCAATACACTCCATATGCCTGAGGGGGTTCAAACATCCTGCAGCCTTGAATTAGATGTCTAAGCCATTAAGGGAATACATTCTAAGGCTCCTGCTTTTCTCTCCCTGTGGGCAGTATATGGAGCTTCAGTCTCCAGTCTTGTGCTTTGGACTACACCCTGGTAGCCATTGTGATCTGAGTCTTGTAAGGCCCCTTGGGAGGGGATAACCACGTGTGTGTACACATTCTGCAGTGATTCATCTAGAGTTCATGATGAATAAATTCCATCTCTTTCACTCATTCTGCAGAGGAGGTAATTCCACATGATGCTGATTGACAAACACAAACCATTACATGTGCTGAACTCACCTCTGAGCTCGGACTTTTCAGCCACAGCAGTTTGGCAAGGTCATCACCAGCTGTGTTGTTGACAGCATGTTCAAATACTTCTACTTTCTGCATCAGAGTCAGGTGGTCGTAATCTGGAGCCATCTATAATTGAGAGGTGACACTCAGCAACTTAAGAAAAACCACCTCTAGTAATCCCTAGTTGTACTATAAGAAACACAGTAATCAAATAATTTCAATATAAACTTGTTATGAAATTATTTGTAGACTGACCAGTATGTTCCCAAACACAGTCAGATGACCACCCAACAGCAAAGAATTCATTTTAAATGGGACAGCAAATGATTTAGCATACAAAGTAGTCCATATGCATATTTAATTAGAATAGTGTGAAGGGTAAATATGTTTCAAAAAACATTATCCAAACAAGTCTTCTGGGTTTGCACATGCTTTCCTTATTTGGCAGGCATTTCCAACTTTTCTAATAATGTTCAGTTTCTCCAGTCTTTCTAATTTTGGCCCTGTTGCTTAGACACAATGTTTGTAAATGCCAGCAGCATGGCACCTTGTATAAGGCAAGCTATAGCCATGCAAAATTCCAAACACATTTTAGTCACCAGGTAGTTACAACCTGTGATCACTGCTAAAACAGGAAAGGAGAAACAAATAAATGCACGGCCAATTTTACCTCTTGGTAGCGTTTTTGTAACTCTTATTTGGTATTTTTGCGTTTATTACTAGTACCAATAACAATCAGAAAATAGGCAAAAGAAGAACAAGCTGCACACCATTATTCTTCATTAAGACACTGGAGTCCTAACAGAATGTACCAAAAACTGTGCCAGCTTTGCCCTTTACCCTCAGCATGATGCGATGTTCAATGTTGAGCAGGATCTTTTTCTTCTCTCTGTAGTCTCGGATGAGTGCATGCAGTGTGTCACAGTGGGGGACCCAACCAATTAAGCCTGAATTTGTAGACAGTGGAATAACAGCATATCTCTGGATGCTACAGGAAAAAAAAGAGAATCAGAGCTCAAATTGTTGTATTTTGTGAATTATTACATTTTGAGATGCTTAAAGAACTACTACTAAATCTGATTCTGATCCAAGTTCACTTCAGTAGTTGCTCTGCTTTTCTTCTTTTCAAACAGACCTGAAACATCCATTTGGATAGACTGCTGCCAGATCATCTACGGACATTCTCAAAGCTTGCGTGGTTTTCACTGAAAGACTGCTTTCAGAAGGTACCTGTTATGTCACCCACGATGATCTGTTATTTGCACGTGACATTTGATATGTTCATGCTTGAAAGACACTGCACAGAACTGCAGTCAGTGACTATTCACCATGCTATTTATTGAAGATAATAAGAAATCCTTGAAAGAAAATCTTGTTCTCAGGCTCCTAAAGCAGCACTCAAACTGTCTTGAAATAGCAGTTGCCTCAAAGATGATAAATATTTACAAGATGGGACTTAAATAAAACAAATAATCCTCTCAGGATATATTTCCTCCCAGTTTGACGTCTATGAATATTTGTTTGTTTGTGTTTTGTTTTGTGGGTTTTGTTTGTTTTTTAAATTAGCTTCATTCCAAGATTCACCACTTCCCCACAAACCAGGTGGTTGTGCCAAGGATCACTTGGAAACTACACCTACATAGGGTGTCTCTTATGCATAAGCACATTCAGTGAATAACCACAGTACATACCTGAGGTTTTTCCGAAGAGAAGTTGGGTCATTTGCTAGCAGAGTATTTACCAACCCAAAAAGCTGCATCACTCTCTCATCTTGGCGAAGGTCTTCATGACCTTTCAGAAGGAATACAAACTCATGTCCATTGCTTCCTGCAGAAGAATCAATACACAAAATTTTACTCTTGCTGAACGAACAGGTAAGAGCAAATACACATACACACAAGAACTGGACACTGGGGCAGTCAGACTAACCAGACCACTAAGAAATATGGCACTTGAAAATAAATGTAGGAGAGGTTTTACCTGGTAAATATGCATTTTGACCTAAAAGCAATGACTGTTTAAACACTAGAATAGGTAAGTGAAAACTGCTCTCTCTTACCCATTAATGTTAACTTCCTGGGCCGCTGCTTGGAGGTGATGACCTGCAGTGAGGGCGCAATGGACTGAATGCGTATGATGGGCTGGTTGGGATCATACGTTCCTGGCACTGCCAATTCCAGGTCCCGGCACATTAAGAGTTTTGGTGACACATACTGTAGTTCCAAAGAGGTGAGCTACCAAAACCAGAAGAAATACAACCCCTTAGTATTTCAGCGAAATGTCACTGAAACATCTGAAGAGTTCATGCTGTTGAGGGACCTCGAGCAGTTCAGTCAGTCGTCGCTAATTTAGATGTTTGTAGGAAGTGCTACACAAGCAGCAAACTTGCAGCAAATCTTATGTGAGTATTTCCAGAATGCTGAATTTGAATGCTTTGAATAACCAGAAAACATGAAATAAAGATTGGTATTAACAACTTGCACTGTAAGACCCACAACAGAACTGTACCACTCCCCTACCTGAGGCAGCTGCTTTGAGATACGCCGGAACACATGGTAATAGAGATCCCAAGCCTGAGTTAGGTCTTTGACATTTCCTGATTTCATGTACTTTCTGCACCACTCCTGAGCTTCCATTAGATCTCTGCCATAGGCCTAGAGAGGAAGTGAAAAACAGCATAAGAAAAACATTTCTACAGACTATAGTGGAACAGGTGGAGACCACTTAATACCTACAAAGAACATCATAGTCCATTTTCAAACTGCATTACAAATACTTGATCTCACATCTTTATAGCATATTGGAATTAAAGATATTCCTGGATCCAAGATATGCACTGAGTTTAATAGACAATGTTGCTCACAAATAGGCTTCATGATAGGAGGCAACAGAATGAATTAAATCACCCTTTAACAGTAGGCTCACAAGCTCAAATTCCTTTTGCTGGCTTGAGGGAGGTCACCTCTGCTATCTGTGCTAGTGGTTACCATGAAGCAAAGCAGACTGGAGTCAGAAAACTTAACTGCAATGCAGTTGTATGTTTTCCAGACCCTAACAGACACCCAACCAATATAAGGCTCCAGGACAATCTGTACTACCATGGCCCCTACAGCACTGTAGTCACCAAAAGCAATACATATCTGAAGATGAAGCCTGCAACTAACACAATGAGTCCAAACAGATTTACTCTGTGTTAGATTGCAAAGGTCCTTGTAACACATCTGGGTCAGGTGGCTGTCCTGCCTGTTTCTGAGGGCATGCAGAAGGTTATACTCTTGGCCACTTGCTGATACCTGATTGAAAGATGTCTCTTTTAAAGTCTGAGGCCCACGCTCCATCATGGCATGAAGTGGTTCCAGCACCTCAAACATTCCCTTCACATTCCTTTCTCCAAAGTATAGACGAGATGCTTCCTCCAAACCTTCGTGCCACATCTCATGCCATAGGATGGCTACACGGATTAGCTCTTCACTCACCTGGTTTAGGACAGGAGAAACGATTAAACGTCTAAAGAAAAACGCTATGACTGTACACTGACTTACTAATGCAAAATTTTCTTCTTCTCTAATGATTATGAAATATTTGTTGCTGGCAGCTAGAGGGAGCCACAAGAACTTCCACAATACTGTTGCACTCTTCTGCAAGAAGCTGATCAGATTTTTCTCACTTTATTTCTTGCTTTTAAAAATTTTTATATTTGTGTAGCTTGGCCTGAAAGTATTACTTCTCATTTATTCATAGAAGTCTTTTGCAAATGAATTAAATTTTTCTTTCCATCCTATGCTCAATACGTTTGGTTTCCACATTGGATTAAGCAAAAATATATTTTTATGGAACAGTGATTCTTCATTTACTTATTCTTTAAATTTATTCATAAGGAGGCACATGAACTCAGTGTTTGAATATTATGGTCCTTTTTAAATTAAAGTATTATTTTGGAATTATACTAATACTGTGAATTCTACCAATTGCAAAAACCCCAAGTTAATTGTACTTGAACAAAATTGACAAGGAATAGTCATTTTGTGTTATACCTGGGGTATGTTCATTCCTGAAACACACTTTATGGTACATTAAATACTCACCATCATTGCCTGCTGCACCAGGGTGTTACTGTGCTCACACATGTTCTTCAAGATCTTATTCGCAGCATTGTGACGAGCAGTGGTTGTAGATTTAGAAGCCACAGTCAAAGGATAGATCAAGGCCTACAAGGGACAATCACCAATAATATTTCAGAACCACACAAAAGAGCTACATAAATTATTAATAAATAACAGCCTTAGGGCCAGACAAGAGAAAGCAAGCTTGCTTCTAGAAAGGTGATAGGAATTTGCTAGTCAAAGTTGTCCAGTCTGAAAAGCTTACAAGACTTTAGTTCATCGAGTAGCAGAATGACTGAGAGCCTGTATCAAACTGGAAGAACAGAAAACCATTTTTGGCATTTTGTGATTTTCCACACTGTAGGAAGAAATTCAGATAAAATGTCTGTGAGGTGGCCTCCTAGTAGTCACTTATTGATATTTAAGAAGGTGATTTGCACTACCCAGTATTCTATTTGACAGACAGAACTTTCCCTGCTGCATGACTCGTTCACTTCTTCTTTCCATTTTGATGTGAACAGTGCTGAAGTAAAAGAAGTAGCAGCAGAAATAGTCCCCATCCTCACTTGCTGTGACTTCCAGTGCAGGCATCTAGACAGGGTGGTGAAATGGAACACAGGAAATGCCTTAACTGCTTATCAGTCCATGGAAATTCCTTCTCTAAGCCAAAACTTACCTGGGGATGGTACCGTCCAATATCTGTGAGGAGCTGATGAATGAGACGTCCTACTAATGGCCGAGGGGTGTCAATTCTCGCGATCAGCTGAGGGATAACCTAGTAGTACGGATAAGTAAACATCTCTGTCATCTCATGTGTTTAATTCACAAGCTGTTCTGCCCTCTGCTAGAGAACTCAGTCTCTAAAGGAGACAGAGACCCACTATTCATTTTTGGGATACTCAGAGGATAACACAAAGTTCCAAACAGTGTCACAAATGTAGAACAGCTCAGTGAGATATCAAATGTTCTGTGCAAAACAGTTACAGGATCTTCTTACAGAAAGAGTAAGATGTGTCTTGAAGTGTAATGCTTAAATAAGAAATAAAGCCGTTTTTTAAATTTACAAGAGCCATTCTACAGAGCCATCTTAAAATAGACTGATTACATCAGAGCAGCACAGTGGTGTTTTATACTTGATCACCACTGAATGTACTTTGTCTTCAATTTTAAAATTTTCATTCTTTTTCATTCATATGCACTAATCTGCATATAATTACAGAAATGTACACAAGAATATGTCTCATGTCTCTGTTCAAGATGCTTGATAAATCAGTTACCAATTGTGCTGCCTACTGCTCTCACCACTCACCTGCAGAGGAATGTTTAGCAAAGGATCATCACAAATATAGTGTAACAAATCACCAAGCTCCCCTCAGAACTGATTTGTCTTAGCCCTTTGTGTTCCTTACCTGCAGCCAAGTGTCTATTTGGATTGCCTTGACTCCTTCTACCAAAGCCTCATTCACATCAGGCCAGTGACCATAGTCAAACCACAGAGTAAGGACCCTGATAAAGAGAAACACATTCATTAGGAATGAAACAACAACAACAACAACAACAACAACACAACAAAAAAACCCCAATCCAGTCAAATACCTTCAGCACATTTACAAATTACTCTTCTTCCCAGAACACTGAGATAGTAGGATAAGGGTTAATCCATCTAATATAAATCAGCTTGGACTGAGGCATTTGCTTAGTTTAACTATAACAAAAAAAGCAGAAACAGGTTCTACCTAATCTTAAAGCATGTGCCCTTATCAGCTGGATTTTGTTTACTATGTGCTTTATTATGTACCTCAGAGTGTCTTGTAGGTTGTTTCCCCGAGACAGAGATATGGATCCGGA